TTGCAACTGGAACAACCCTAGTAATTCCCCAAACCATAACCTAATGCAAAGACTATGCTTTTTAAAAAAAAAAAAAAAAAAAAAATCTGATTTTCTAGGCCAATCTTATGATTTTGGGAAACAAGGTCACGAGTTTCAACTGTCTGGATCTAACAACAGCTTATTTTTTTAAGCGCTTGCGTCGACACTGCAGCATAGGACAATCTGATAGAGTCCCCCGTGCTATCAAGAAGACAACATATAAAGCAATCTCTTAAAATACAACACCAAAACAGCTGACCCTCAGTAAGTGCCCCCTGGCCCAAAGGCTGGAGAGGACCTCTGAGAACAGGGTGAGCTCAACAGCGATGCTGACTCACCATCTACTCGAATGGGAAAGCAACGCTACCCAGTAAACAAACAGCACTGCAGTGCTCTTGCTCTGAGCATTTGTGTATCGTGGCTGAAAAAACCTACCGAGACTATAAATCAAAGCTGCGTTTCTGCTTGAAATTCCAAATCTCAGTTTAGAGAAGGGGACACTAATGATGGTTTAAAGGGCTTTATAGGCACATGTATGTGTGTGTGGAAGGGTTTCTTGGATGAGACTTCATAACTTGGCAACTTGCATGGAGCAGAAAAGTGACCTTTAGAAGTAGTTTTAGGATCCTCATGGAATTTTTTTTGGGGGGTGAGGCAAATTTAAGTTACTGTGGTTCATGCAGGAAAAACTGGTCAGAATCTAGGACAGCATCCTAAATTCATCTTCCTTCAGGTGGCAAAACATTACCCATTGCTCCTCATCGTGCCACCAGCACAGCAATAGCTGGTGTCCCTATTGGCTCATGTGTGCTAGGAACAAACTACCAGCAAGACTAACTACAACAACCCAAGGTCCACCCCAGAGACGCAGCCGGTGACAGACATACCTGCAATATAAGCCCTCAATCCATCCAGGAGACCAAGCCAGAAATAAGATTGCACCTACAGCACAACTCAGGAGAAACATATAGCCCTAAAGGCTGAGCTTAAATGGAGCCCTGGCTGATGGGCAGCAGGTGTGGATGGGGGCCCAGGTGGGGCTGCTTACGACAATTAAAGCTATCAATGCCCTCAGGGTGCTGACAGAAATATGGAAGAGCCCTTTTCTGAGGCTTACTGTGCTGTGCTAGCCATATGGCCCCATCAGCTCATGACCCTGATGCAGTTTGAATTTTTGAGGAGGCTCTGCAATAGGATTTGTGGTGAACACCCTCGGCAATTAGCCTTGGACAGTTCTGTAGATGTGCTAATTGGCATTACCCTGAGGGCTGTAATGGGGAACTGATAGCTGGCCAGCACAGAAATCCAGGGAAAAAAGTCCTACTGTTATCCTGCGTAGGAGTTTAAAGTCTTTGGCAATCTTTCATTAAAATAATAACTTAGATCAGAGTTTCCGACAGCTACAAAGTACCCATGAGCAGCAATTAAATGTTTTTTAATGTTCCATTAAAAATATGAAATATTCCATTCAAGATAATCTAATTGACAGAAATTAGTACTTATGTTCCCCAGCCAGTTTTCCCCCTTGGAGAGGAATAAGTTGAGTTTCTGCGTTACGGATTTAGACGAGAGGGCAGCTCCATGGCTTCTTGGATGGCAGCCTGACTTATGGCTTTCAGGGGACGTGGTACTAATATAATATTTATAGTGCTTGGAAAGTCAACTGTCTGATATGGAAAAGGCACTCGGGAGCAGTGCAGGCTGTATATGGAGCTGGTGTGTTCCTTCGCTTTTGTGGACGTCCAAGGGAAATTGAAATAATGGGAGTGTGGCAGGGCACCAGGGGCAGGAGGAGCTGTGCTAGCACCCTCCTGCTTCATCTATTGCTTTTAAAGGCTGACAAGGTTAACCCTTTCA